CTAACTAAACAGTCTGTACCATGTAATAGACATCTTGACAAAGCTGTATCTCTACAGAGAAATCAGTCTTGTCTGCTCCCGCTTCTTAAGTTTGATTCTGATAACATTTGGTCGGCGAAACGATACATCATTCTTGTCATTTAACAAGAAAGCACAACTGGTAAGATTAACACTTACGCATATAACTAGTCAGTTGAGATGAAAATTCTGCAGTGATGATCATTATAATGAGTGAACATTATTAAGCATCTTCACACTAACCATTTGTCCCTAGTTTATATTAATGGTTTGGATAAAGTCAATACTTCATGAATACCATCCATAAATTAAAGTAGCCTCCAGAAGTTATTCCATTCGAAATGATGTCTTCATTTCTAATTTCCGAAATAATAATACACATGTTTCTCACTAATGGTTAAGTGATTTTATCTCCGCCTATGTTATTTGATCCTTAATTTCCATCGGTTAAAGTGGTTTTGGCATCAAATACCCTATTATTTATGTTATTAATGATAAGAATGTTATGGTTAGATTGTGGAAAGCAATGTTATCTTTGATTAGTCATTCAACTGTACCTCCACCGTAGTATTGATGTTTACAAGGAGACTGATAGTCAGTTACCTATTAATTCAAATATAAACACATTACCAATTGTGCTACTAAAGTGTGTGATGTTTACTCGTGGAAACAATCCATCATCTCACTATTGACATTTCAGCTTCTCATCCGGGACTGATCAAATGAAGTCGGCATAGAAATAAGTGGATGCAAGTTTAGTGATTTTTAAACATTCTGTACTGACGGTGTCCATCATTGTTATGATGGATGCACTCGGTCAACTATCACCATCAGATAAAGAAGAACGTTGTTTTGAAACGTTTCTTCTTCTCTCGATAATATATTTAAGAATCTTACAGTCCTCTATCTCTGCACACGATGAAATGTTTTTTCCCTCCAATAATCACCTACTACCCTGTTTGTTGATAAGATCGGTGAAATAGAGTTGAAAATTAATATTGTTCGATTATGTAGTATTCAGTGTATCTTTCATAAGTTCTCATTAATTTATAAGTTAGTAAAATATATATAATCATTTCATCATCTGTATTTGTTCGTTTATATATATATATATATATATATATATATATATATATATATATATATATATATATATATATATATATATATATATAAACGAACAAATACAGATGAAGATAAAGTGTAGCAGCAGCCTCTACATCAGTCGGTTTCAACATATACGAGGGAAAAACCAAGATCCTCAAATGCAACACCGAGAAAATTAACCCAATCACACTTGATGGAGAAACTCTGGGACAGATGTAAACTCTCACGTACCTGGACAGCATTATCGACGAACAAGGAGGATTTGATGTAGAACATGAGTTTTACAACTAAAGAAAATCTGGAAGTCAAATTAACTGTCAATCAACATCAAGTCAGAATCTTTAATACAAATATCGAAACAGTTCTGTTGTACGGAGCTGAAACTTGAAGAACTACTACAATCGTTATCAAAAAGATACAAGTATTTATTAACAGTTGTCTACATCTAATCAGTGTCCGATAGTCGGATATCATCAGCAATAATCTACTATGAAACAGAACAAACGAGATTCCAGATAATGAGGAAATTAGGAAAAGAAAAGTGCAGGTGGATAAGAAACATATTGAGGAAATCATCAAACTGCTTCACTAAGCAAATACAAACTTGAAATTCTGAAGGAAACCAGAGGAAAAAAAAGAAAAACCAAAGAACACATTGTGTCGAGAATTAGAAACAGACATCAAACGAATAAACAGTAACTAAAAACACCTAGAAACAATTGTCCACGACAAATTTGGATAGAGAATTCTGATGGGTTGCCTATGCTCCTTTACAAGGGATAACAAGCGTAAGTAAGTATGTAATTCAATATATTCTATTTCATTGAAGTCAATATTTGTTATTCAATCATAATTTTTAACACACAAAAAGTGTAATGGAAATAGGGACAAACAGATAGAGAGAGAGAGAGAGAGGAAATGAATCCCTGCTTATGATACTTGTTTTTACACAAGAAAATTATCTAATAATTATTCATTTAGAAATTAGTCTATTAGAATGATTTTCTTTATGGTTCTCTTAGAACTTATCTTTATCAAATGAATGAAGGCAATTTATTCAAATCAGTTATCGCATATTGATGAGATAAAAAAAAATAGGTGGAGACTTATTATGGTAGAAAGGGTGGGGGGAATTCAGTTAATGGCAGTTCCGTTACACACATATATATGTTCCTAATATGGTTAGAGAAAATTTCTTTTTAGGCAGGAAATAGATGGAATTATTTGATGCTTAATAAATTATCTAGGTAAATTAATAAAACGAAAAGAAATTATTTAAATTAATCAGATAGGGAAGATGGATAGTGGCTAGCAGTGGAATTTAGGATGTGCGATTTTTCATCCCATTGCACAAGCAGGTGGCTAAGTGCAATGAGATAACGCGATGGTGTTTAAAGCGAACGGTACTGGGTTCGAGTCCCGAAGTGAACAACTCTGGGATGCAGGTACATTCAGCTGACGAGTCCCAAATAAAACGAAACGCGCATCAAACTGGATTCCACTGCTAGCCACTATCTATCTTTGCTTAAAAAGCTTGTGACTTAAGGCTATATCGAGGCGATCCGTACAGGATGTACATGTACCAACATGAGACTGATCAATCGCCGTCCGAAATGACAATGGGAAGATGCAAGTAAAACAAACCCAAGTGAATTTATTCAGATAGGTGTTTTTGTGGATATTATAGTAATTTGATAGTTCGATTCATATGTGTTAATTGAAGCTAGACTGTCATGGATAACCTAGAAGCACTGAACGGCCGTTTCGTCTTAGTATGGGACTCCTAAGCAGTGTTCATTCACGATGCAAAATTTGAACCCAGGATCTATCAGTTAGATTAAGTTTAATGATATTGAGTGAAATGGATATTGTATAAGTTTTTCCATATTACATATTTGTTTCAATATATAGATTGACATTAACTTGTAGTTGATGGCCCTACGTTGAGCCGACATAGCTTATTCTAGCTTCCGAACAAGCCAATTTATTCATTTTTCTTGAGTTACATTTTGACCTTGTTAATTATTCGCTTTGTTTCGCTTAACCTTTGCCTTGCCTAGCCTCGCCTCGATTCGATTTGACTATAAATATTGAGTAACGCTTAATTAAATTGAGTTGACTCACATACCTTTTCTAATTCATTTCCCTTCAGTCTCTTCTCTTCGCTTCCTTTGCTCTGTCTCTCTGATTTTCTGTTCTAATCAATGATTGTATAAAATACACGTATTCAAAAAGCCATTCTCGTATATGACTTATTTAATTCTGTTATTCACTAACGTGATCTAAGTCAATAATAATTGTATACGAGGATTGGCGACATATATATCTCAGTAGCAATCAGAAACGATCAAACTATGGTCAAATATCGGGCCACTAAAATCTGTCACGTAGTCTAACCTTTAATTCATGAATAGTTTATTACAAATTCTTCAAACATAATTTATAATAGGCAATAGATAATTATATAGAAGGATTGAAGCTATGTATAAATCGATAATGATGATGATGAAGAAGAAGTCGATAATCCCACGATTTAAATAGAGTCAAATATGGGGCCACTAGAAACCATTAACTACTTTATAATTACTTTATAGTTACTTTAAATGGAATTTCATTGGATATCGAAGAAAAATTAAACAATACGATTAGTACAATAGAATACATTCAATACAACTTAACACTAAGATTTGATCAAGAAACAACTGAATGTTACAGTGAATAATTATAAACGTAAGTTTATAATGACATAGTTAATCATAATTTGATCTTTAATTTCAATTATAAGATTATCTTAATTATTAAAATCAATTACACCTTGGGGGATTAATAAGATGTCAGTTCACTTTGATAAATTTTTTAATTGAATGCTAGATTCGGTTCCTTAAGCTCTCTGGTAACCTCTAGTCTAAATCTATACAGTGACTTGAACACGAGAGAAAAAGGTGTGAAATATGGAAGAAACTCTTTGCTTCAAGTTTCGTTTATGTACAGATGAACTTGAGATTCAGGAAATTTATGGAACGTTACTAAATCTAGTAGCAGAATAAGTAATCATTCAAACAGAAATGCAACATTTGAATTTTCAATTTCTAAATGTTTCTGGCAAAACTTCTATTGAATGTTGATTGGATAAGATGTTTCCCAGCGTTTTCAGAGGCATTTTTGGGTTCTATCCAACAACTTATACTGATTTCTATCAGTTCCTCATAAAATATTAACCTTTTTTAATTTAAAATAAACCAACCAGTAGTTTGAAAGCTTTGAAAGATTAATGAGCTGAATATCTTGACTTTCAGGTAGGTAGTAAACAATAAAACAATAATGAATTCAGTATATTTCCAGCTCCTTCCAGTTGTTATTCATTCTTTTCATAGTTCTTCTAAGTGAAGACCTTCTTACACCCAGGGCAGAGTTTAAATGGTTTGAATTATTTTTTTCTGGTTAGCGTTTTTTTTAGCGAGTTAGTTTTCTACGGGATGAGGTCGCTAACCCCATGCCCAAACCTCCTCCTTTACTCCGGCTTGGAACCGACAGTAACTCTAAAAGAGCTACAGGAGAAGTTCCGAGTACAAAAAAAGGAACTTATTAAAAAATAGTTTTATCCATTGTTCTGTTGGTTCAGCTTACGTAGGGCTTGTTCCTCTTCTTCCAGTACGTTTACTCTTTACTGTCCTGCAATAAGAAAAACAAACCTTAGTAACGTCACATATAATGATTATCAATACTGTTACATTTTTATTAGTTAAATATCGCGCAATTCAAATCATTAAAACAATGACCAATCAAAACATAGTAAGCACTTGAAAATGTGATGAGGTTTATAACATTGATAAACATCAAGGCATCCTTAACTACATAACTTACATTATACAGTGATGCAACAAGAAATGATTTCAATTAAACCAGAAAGATGTTTGTTTCAATCATTGGAAAATAACAACAACAAAAGCAACAAAAACACAATTCAAACAAAATCACTTATCAATGAACAATGTCAACAAACATTCAACTTGGTATGTCAAAAAAGTCTTGAAAAGTTTTGTCAAAATTATGATTTTGATTTGAATCAAATGAAACCTGTTGTTAATCCAATCAGATGTAATAACAATGAAAGTGATCAGGAAAGTCAACATCGTCATCGTCACAAACATCAACACACAAGACATAAACAAATATGGCATTGGGAACAATTGGACACTACAGTCAATTATATACCCACATTTTATTTGAGTAACAGATATCATTCAGATAGTTATCTACTTCAATCACATCAACATGAATATTCTGTTCCACCAAATACACCACACAAATGCACTACAAAATCATCAAACTATCAATTCACAGAAAATAAATACAATTCATCTACTTCGTCCATATTACAGAGGTCACACGCATCTCATCACATTTCATCTCTAGTACCAATTACCCAACCGGTTACAAATTCATTTCGTGTGTGTCGTACTCGAAGTAGGAATTCATCAAACTGCACAATAGCATCTAGTAGAACTTCCAAGTATTTGCATGCTCAACATATACGGAGTAAAAGTGAGGGGAAAGACATTGACCACATACACAACTCACATCTCGATGGACATGCCAAATGCAGTGTTTGCAATGATTCCACTTGCCGTTCCTCTGAAGTTCCATACAAATCATCAAGTTATTCGTCTTCCAATATTCCATGTTCAAAGAGTGTGAATTGTGTAGGGGAATGGGAAAATATTTCATATTCTGAGAAACAAGTGTCTCCCAGTTCATCATCCACATCGAACAGATCTAGTTTGAAGCAAATGAAACTGACTGGTAAGTTGACACGCATTATTATTGTCCGTTTCCAATGTTATTAATTGACCGGATGCAACTTGGTTTCAGATCAGTCTCCTTACAGAGTTGTAAGTTCCACAATGGATAATTAGTACCATCCATATTGAGATTGCAAAACGACTGATGTTTACTGTCATGGAGAACATTGTGTTGAACCAAGTTGAATCTGTTTTCAAGCTTTCATCATATTGTAAAAACTGTGTGATCTTATTTCCTGTGACATACTCATGTCACCAGTAATTAATCGATGAACAGGTGTACGTGATGCGTAAGTGTGAGTAGTTGGAGGATAACCATATCATTGTTTCATCATTCCAAACAGAACATTTATCCATGCAATTTTCCATAATGGTCTGTGCTACTCAAACTATGAACAAACCATGTTCGAACCAGACACTTTCCTGTTCAGATGATCCAAAATACTCGAATGATTATGTCTAACAGTGACCCAGTCAAATCCAACAACAATTGTTATTCAGTTGTTAGTATGACAAACATTTAACACTCGAGATACTCCACCAATAGTTATCTAACCGATGGTGACATATTAGGGTTGCATTCTTTTATTGAAATTAATATATATTTCTCTGAAATCAATAAATAAGTTACAACTATCACGTGTCATAACTGTTCAATCAATCAACCAATCAGTCAATCGAAAGCGGACATTGAAGGTCGTCAAATAATTTAACACATATCGTCTTGTAACAATTACAAATAAATGTTCTAGTAAAAGTGTCATTCGATTAGAAAACGTTCACCTTGAATGTATTCTAATTTATAGGGACTAAGTTCTGATCAACTTCCACTTCGATAATGGTTCATCGAACAGGAATTGATCTATGCCATTTCGAAATGTTTTGATACCAAGTTCTGTTTTGATGTTGAAGTGTTAGTGAAAAACATAATCAATGACAGGGCAGTGGGCGTGAGATAAATCAGTCAACAATACAAACATGACAGTAGTGATCCAGTTGTAAAATCTATTTATTCAGACCATTCATTCCATTATGTTTGAGTGGTCATACACTTAATACAGACAACCTCAGAGGCAAGATAATCTAAATTAGGATAATTACTGTGATATTTCCACAGAAAGTGAATATTGATTTAAATGGTGACACGATAAAACAATGGTCCGACCCTCTCGTCTAGTTGCTTTGATCACAACTTACATGTAGTTCACTTAACCACCTTTCGGCTAAACAACACAAGTGTATGAATTAACTCACCCATATGATGATTGTTGCATCGAATCTTCTCCTACTTAGTATCTATCTACTAACCCACATCTCAAGTCATATACGATACAGCAAATTTTCTTGAGCACCAGATCTGTGTGACTAAACTAACTTATTCAATCACATTTGAATCACACACACACACACACTATTTTCTTTTGTGATGCACAACCAATCTCTTCTCATCACTTATTCAGCTCACCACAGAATTCTAAAATCAATAATTATGAATTAAAAGTCATCATAATGAAATTAGTATCTGTTTGTATTACAGTTTGTAGTGATGGAAGACAAACGATTTACGATCGAATTGATAATTATTAAATGCGGGTACTGTAACCAATGCTAGTTGTTAAGTTTAATGCACAATCACTATAATCTATTTGTAATCACCATTATCATGCTAAATTGTATAATTGGAGAGAAGATCAAAGTAAATGAGATCTCTGATGATTGTGCTCATATTAACACATAATGGAAATATGTGATAAGATGAAGATAAGTTGATTGGTTGTATGTGAAGCGAAGAAAACATCACAATGTCATTTCGACTGTGAATAATATTATTCTAGACTTCTCAATCATCATAGTATATATGTTATACTACTGACGTTCAATGCATTTCACCACCACTTCTCTTGATCTAAATCTCAGGACATCTTCTAAAATTGATCATATGAATTTTTTTTTTGGGTAAAAGATATTTCCACAGATCAATTAAGTTGGTGCGTATTCATCTCCAGGATCTAGTTGCTGTGATATAACTAATTAGTTACAGAATGTTATTTAATGTTACATCAAGAATATTGTTCAAACCACGAACCGATCCATTTTAAGCCTCCGCTGAAATTATGAAAGCATAATTGAGTTCCTGACCTTAGTAAAATTTAACCATCTCTATAAATTCTATATGAATAAAGATTTTGGATGGTTGAGTATTTAAGTGTTCAAGTGTCTATATACATTATGTTAATCAATTAAAAAATAATCATCAATAACTCTATCAAGGTTCAAATCTAGGAAATATCCGTTTTGCATCGGGAGCTTAATCATCAAATTACTGAGTTCTATTTGTAAAAGTAGTTTACACGGTTTCAGTTCTATGTCACAATTAAAATAGAGAACATAATTTTTTGAACTAACTACCTGTCTTGAAATGTGTTTTTATGTATGTAGGGAATTTAAAAATAGTTTCAAAAACATCGGATCATAGTTCAGTGAATATAATAATAACTTCTTATAAGGTTTATTATTGATAGGTTTAAGCTATATATTTATTTAATTAGGTAGCTAATACATTGGTTTTTAAACTGCAAGTCTTGAGCATCATTGCTACTTTGATTTAGTGATTGAGTTTATTTGTCGTAATGATCCAACTAGGATATATTGGCTAAAATACTTGTTCATTTTGGTCCTACTAGGCCAGGCAAGTGATTTGAAAAACGATTACATTAAATGTAGAAACTTAAGTTTGGAAAACAAAGTTGACTACATAGAGATATTATTGCATGAAGGTTTTTTAATTAGATAAGTATTGTATGCAGTCATACTGTTTTTTCACAGTCGAAGGAAGAAGTTAGAGAAGGTTGATCTTAAAAACAACTCAATTTACATTGCTCTAGGGGTTTCAATCACTATCAGTAATGCAGTGATACTGTGTGAATTGCTTTCAAAAACTCCCTGTGTTACCGGTCACAAGCAGTTGTCCCATTAACTTTACTTTCACGTTCCTAGATTGATAAGATAACAATCCTCAGTCCAGTCCCCTTTTCAAATATTTCAATAAAAACCATTCTTTCACAGTGTATAGAAGCAAAAACAGACAATTAACCATACATCTCTAACCTTAGTACTGTTAGTTAGAGAACAGATAATCATCAACTAGGAATCTAGAATATATTATAAAGTGATAAGAATGTTTTTACTTACACAAAACAATTGTTTAATATCTGACAATTATTAATTTCAGTCAAATGATTTATGAAAATTTACTCAGTTTAAGGACACTAGTATCAAATACAAACGTATCAAAAGTTCCATACTACTGAATCGGTATTTCTATCCTAATTTGAAATCTCTATAGTCATGAACAATCGAATAAAAACTATTCATTTAACTATTAATGGACCACAATGGTCGTGTACGAGAACATTAATGGGAACAACCAAATGCAGTTGAACAGAACTAAATATATTTGAATACAAATTTATAGAATGTTTTATTAAAATCTGAGAATTACTTACTTACTTACGCCTGTTGCTCCCAATAAAGCATAGGCCACCGACCAGCATTCTCCAACACACTCTGTCCTGGGCCTTCTTTTCTAGTTCCATTCAATTGTTGTTCATTTTTCTCAAGTCTATCTCCATTTCCCGGAGTAATGTGTTCTTTGATCTTCCTCTTCTACTTTGGCCTTAATGATTTTATGTGAGGGCTTGTCATGTGACACAGTTGGGTGCTTTCCTCAATGTATGTCCTATCCACTTCCATTAATTCTTCCTGATTTCTTCCTCTACTGTAATCTGGTTTGTTTTCTCCCATAGTAAGTTGTTGGTGTTAGTGTGTGGCCAACGGATCCGAAGTATTTTGCGTAGACCACTGTTAATAAACACCTGTATCTTCTGGATGATGGGTTTCGTAGTTCTCCATTTTTTCGCCCCATGCAGTAGAACTGTCATGACATTTGTATTGAAAATTCTGACTTTTGTGTTGTCAGTTGATAGTTGTTTTGAGTTCCAGATGTTCTTTAATTGTAAATATGCTGCTCTTGCTTTGCCAATCCGTGCATTCACATCTGCATCAGATCCACCGTGTTCATCAATGATGCTACCCAGATATGTAAAGGTTTTTACATCTTCCAAATCTTCTCTGTCAAGTGTGATTTGATTATTGTATGCTGTGTTGTATCGGAGAATTTTGCTTTTCCCTTTGTGTAATATTGAGACCTACTGCTACTGAGGCTGTTGCTACACTGGTTGTCTTCTCCTGCCTTTGTTGTTGCGTGAGAGATAGAAGAGCCGGATCATCTGCGAAGTCTAGATCGTCCAACTACATCCTAGATGTCCACTGTATCCCATGCTTCCCTTCAGATGTTGACGTCTTCATGATCCAGTCGATCACCAAGAGTAAGAGAAAGGGTGAATTAAAATCTGAGAACCATACAGTAAGTACTTCATTTGCAAAATGTCAATCAATTGTATCCGACTTCATTGTTCCTTCGTCCCCACACCAATTACTGTCTGTTCTCATTCTCTTCTCTTTGATCTTCTTAAACTTCTACCGCTAGGTATTTCACTTTCGATTGACGATACATACTACTTATATCTGATGACATCAGTAGCATACAACACACAATAATTTTCAGGATAAAAATCATAATATTTGTTCTCTTCAGATAAATATCTCAATCAAATATGAATTGTGTATTCTCTTTTCTTCCTCATATAGATATCTTTCTAATCTATAAAACATTGAGATCATCTTTATTATGTAATCCATCATAAATCCCAAATGATCACTAGCCAATCGATTAGGAATATCTTTCAAGTATTTCTACTCCTTTGAATTGGAAACTACTTCATATAGATTATTGTTTCATTCAAGTAAGTTTATCAATGGTCTTCATTGACCATTTTTCTAGATAATAAAACTTTCTTCAGTACATCTTATGAATCGATATTGGTTAAGTAAAAGATGAAAAGCAGGAAACATTAGACAGTTTATTTATTCAAGTGAAGAATTCCTCAACCATTTACTTTCACGATTCAACTGGATATTCGAACACAAAAACTTCAGATCTCACAATGAGCGCTTAACCTTTAAATCATTGAGTAGGTATCAACTACTTTACATTTCTAAATTCAGTATTTAATAATCATCATGCGACGCCATTGGTATATAGGTGGAAAGCATTCAGAGTTTTTTTTAACTCCATTGATTATGTTTTACTAGAACTCAAGAAACTACCTATTCGAAATAGTCACTTGTGTGTACAATATTATGATTGAAAGTTATTATGCGTTATGCATTAACATCGATTAGAGTATTTATTCATGATGATCAAGGACCATTTAATGAATTTTCAATCCTGTTGTAGGACTCACTGGTATTGTATACAGTTGATAGTTAGAGTGATGAACTAGATTTATAATTTTCATCACGAACTGATATCAACTAAAATAAAAAAACTCTATTTAGCCAAATGGATGACCGAATTTCGCGCCAAAATCCAAGACGTATTATTTTATTACTGATTGGTTCGTCCATAAATTATAGTCCTGTCGGACCCTGTTACAAATGATAATTGTGATGGATTCCATTGCTAGAAACTATCCATCTTTGCTTAAAAAGCTTATGAATTAAGGCTGTATCGAGGCGATCCGCACAGGATGCACATATGACAAAATGAGACTGATCAATTGCAGTCCTAAATAACAGTGGGAAGATACAAGTAAAACAACACCAAATGGATTTCTATTGTAAATTCTGTTTAAAGAATTTGCGATAATATATTTTAGTGTCCCTATATTTGACTATAGTTTGATCGTTTCTGATTGCTACTGAGATATGTATGTCGCCAATCCTCATATACAATTGTTGACTTAGATCGCGTTAGTGAATAGCGGAACTAAATTAGTGAAATACGAGGATGGATTTTGGAATAAATATTTGGTACACTCATTAATCTGGGAAAGCAATCAGATGGACTAAGTGAGAATAGAGAGTAAAGCAAAAACACATGAAGTGGATAAGCCATGTAAGCCAACATGATTTAACCAAGCGTTAACCGATATTTATAGTTACACAAAAATAAGTTATATGGGCTTAACATAGTAACCGACACTACTATATATATATACTCTTCATCCCTATAATTTTACTGACTATCAGTTAGTTAAATCAGTCATAAACAACATAGAATCAGATACATAAATGAATCGGTTCATGTTATCACTATAATTTTGCATAGATAAGTGAAATTATCAAGAATTATACCAGAGAAATAGAAGTAGTAAAGAAAAGGAGAAAGAGAATGAAATTGAAAGCAATCAATATAACAACAGGAATGAAGAAACAATGAGAGACAATTCAAAGAAAATGTACAATTGATGTATTTGATGTATGAGTTTCACATTACACTAAATCAATGTGTGATTATGTATTAAGAATAAATTGGTTATCTTTTCTAGAGTGTTTGTTCACTACAGCAACAGTATTAGTAGTAGTTTAAATAAATACGTACACACAATTACAATAAATTATTTTCAAATGTTTTCTAATTCAAGATCTAAAGGAAGATAAAGAATGAATTCATCTGGGAAATTGCTACAGCATTCTAACAATGTCACGTGTCTTCGACCATTGATTTCAATAATCCTACAGACCACAACCTGGTAATTTCTAATGATCTAAATAGCTCATTTCAAAAGTTAGCTATCAGTGGATTTTGAAGATCACTTTTCATTACAAACTGATTGTATTATAATTAAACCTTTGGAAATTCTTCTAAAATGATAATAGCGTGGTGCATGCTACATATGCTGACAGATATAAGTAGTATGTAACATCAATCAGTAGTGGATTGCCTGGCAGCAGAGTATTGAAAAGATCGAATTGAAGAGAATAGAAATGTCAACAGAGAGTAATTGTAATGACAACAGGAATAAAGGAACGATGAAGCTTGTAAGAACAACTGATGAATGATGTGCAAATAGAAGTATTTAATGCATGTTTTTCATATTTTAGGAAGATGTATTATTATTTTCTATTGAATAATAAATTGGCCTTCTCTATCTGAGTGTTCATTCACAACAATGGTACCATATTTTCTTGAATGACTTCTCCCTCCCTTTTTTTGTCTTTTTTAGCTTAACCATGTTTTGATGTTTCCCAGTCTTCTTTGACCGTACATTGATTAGTTTACGTTGGTTAATATTTCCTTTTATTATTCCAGTTTGTTGCTGTATGATGCTGAATTATTGATAATAAAGTCTTATTTGGTCAAACTCAACGTTGCAGTGCGTTATATTACTCTTTGACTGTCCGTTAGAAACGTTTCTTGCTTAACTTGATTCTTGAATGCAGGATATTTCACTATTTTGTACAAGTCACTTCTTCATCAAACAAATATACAAACGAAGTAAAATTTACACAAGTTCAAGTCGTAAGAAGAAACAAAACAAAAAAAATCATTTAGCAGGATCAAAAACAAGTTTAATCACGTCACTGTCATGAATAAATGATTCGATCAGACAAATCTAATCATATTCATATTGGACACCATTAACATACATACGAGTAAAACCCTACGCTTTCTTCTTATAAATATCAGTTTTAAAACTCACCAACAAACATTTCTCACTGTGAACAACCTTGACTCAAACGATATGACATTGACATGACCAGGCGTGTTTCTTTTTTTGATTGTTTAATGTTTCGTTTACTACAGTTGAACGTAAATGATGTGACTATGCAACTTATGTCACTGTTAAACCATGCGACAACAATCTGACCTAGACTACATAGACGTAGTAACCAGGTTGTTTTTCATCTATATCAAGTTTTGGGAAAAATATATATAGAATGTCACCACGTGAATGTTTTATTTAAAAACGAAGAAAATAGAAGAGTAAAGTTTGTAAAATCGGCTGACTGCTACATACACTAGGTTCATTGTGTGAGGTGTTCAATGACCTTTAATTCTCTTTGAGATTTCTTGGTTTATCTGTCTTCATTACAAAAATGCAGAGTAGCATCTCTAGAAGTAATTGTTTACGTTGTGAGATCTCATCATTCATTGGGTATGGGAGTAGTACAAGTTTGGTTTAAGCGCTGTACTGAATTTACTTATGGCGTTAACCCTTATATAGATTATAATGCTCCTATTCGGGTATCTAGAGACGAGTGATAACACATTCCAAACCATTCAATGGCTCAATCTCATGACAGTATTCGATAATAGACAATAAGATTAATTTGATCTACAACTACAAACTGATTCGATTCATGATGTAGTTTGATTATCGACTAAAATCTTCAGTGAGTTATAGTCTCATTATTACAGGTGTTATAAAAGAACCTATCTTCCGTTTATGTCATAACTTTGAAAAGTTCTGCTTGGTGAAATTTAATCTATGCCCAATCACTAGTAAATTATTATTTATTTAATTAGGTCACCCACCAGCATTCTCCATCGAACCCATTCCTGAACAATACTTTCTAGTTATTTTCAATTGCTATTTTTTCTATATCTGCTTCTAATTCCTGACTCAGTGTGTTCTTTGGTTTTTCTCTTTTCCATTTCCCTTCAGGATTCCAAGTTAACACTTGCCTCGTTGATTCAATTTAATGATTTTTGTAATTTATTTTCTATCCACCTTCAATGCCTTCTTCTAATTTCCTCTTCAATTTAAAGTTGGTTTGCTATTTCATCCAGTAGATTATTACTCGATCTATAACTTTCCTAAATTTACTGTAGGTCCAAAGTTCGAGCAAAGGAGTAAGGTTGTGTATAAGGTCAACAACCGCATCCTGTAGAAAAAAAGCAACCCTAACCAGAATAAATCATTTAAACCATTCCAAATAATAAATTAAAGTACATCTGTAGACTTTGTTTAGGGAAAAAACAATAAATTCATAACATTTCTTTAATATACAATGACCTGAAGATTTATTTGTATTTAGTTTTAAGGACATATCATCACCATTTAAAAAATATGGATAAAGATGAGGATAATGAATAGATCATGACAGTTTCATTTCATTAACCCATTAATCATAGTTATCTTACCTCTTTTGTTCTATAATTCATTGAGATTGTATGTTTTCTCATTAATGTTTAGTATTGAATTCATTGATTTATCACATTAATACTTACTTCATCATTTCTGTTCAAGTGTATGTTTGGTTTGTTTAATTCTTGTTATAAAGTTTCCTATTCATTGATGTTACTAATCATGTCATGTGTTTACAATTAAGCACATGTTTGTTTGTTTGTTTGTTTTTCGTTTTTGTTTTTGTTTGTTCATTTAAATGATAAATTGTTTCACTTAAATGAAAAACATAGTGCTAATCAATATCATTGCATATTATTCCCTCCTATTCACGTGTTTCATAATGATAGTTAGTGTTCATTTCACACTTTTTTAAAAAAAATCCCAAATAAATAAATAAATTGTTTACCTCTTTCCACCCTCCTACTTCTATTTCCCTCCCTCCCTCCCCCCTTTTTTCTCTCTGTCTCTCTCTGTTTTTCTTATACTCTGTTGTTTAATTGTGTTTCCTTAAAGAAGCAGGTGTCGTTGATACATTGTCATTTTCATGATTATCACTGTGTGTTTACTTGAAACAAATCTGTACTTTGTTTTGAATTATCATCACCTACAATAATGTCAATCATTGATCATATAAACCATAATTGTTTTTAATTAATTAAATTCATTGTTTAATTTTTCATTCCAAAATAAAAGAGAAAATCAAATGAGTTCAAAACATTCTTTTGTATACTACTTAATAGAAATAAGTCAAATTAAGGTGTTGGATAAATTTGATAAACCAATTATCCAATTAATTATGTATATATAAATTTGTATAATAACTGTTTGAAGGAGATTATTATGTTTTGGAATGAGATCATGAGTCGATTGGTGTTAGACAACCACTGAGAGGATAGAAGCATTGGGTGGCCATTTCGTTCTATTGTGGGACTCCTCAGCAGTGCGCGTCCACGATCTCTCTCACGGGCTTCGAACCCAAGGCCTTCAGTCTTGTGCGCGAACGCTTAACCTCTAGACCACTGAGTCGGCATCTAGCGGTGTTAATGTCTAATCTCAAACAATCCACGAAA